ACTGACTGGATTTGGCCTGGCCCCACATGTGAGGTCACTGGGGCTTGCTTCGGCGTTAGATTCACCTGAATGTAATGGCTTGTGTAGGAACCTGCAGGCCCGTACCTGTGAGCTTGTAACACCTGTATAAGTGTGGCCGTCTCCTGTACCTGGACCACGCTCCCCTCACTAATTCTATCATATGACTCATAAAAGTTGGGCTTGATTATAGGCGTATCGTCGGAAGGTGTTCTGTAAATACCTCAAATGCTAAAGCAGCGTTGGGATTGGCCCGTGGCTCCAGAACACCTGCGCAGCTTTCTATTGCCTTTCATCACTGACGGATTCCAGCGGTGCATGTTTTGACACTTTGGTTAATGTAAATTAATGAGTGCTGACGCAGACGTAGCCTGAGGGCAGGGCCCGTGTTGGGGTGTGGAGAGGGAACGGATAGAACATGTGGAAGCAGAGGCGAGAGGGGCACTGTGAGGGAAGAAGCTCCATGTGCAAAAACATTAATGGTTTACACAGTTTTAGCGACTTTAGTTCAAGATGATCACTGTTGAGACGTTCAAAAGGAAAACCTTAAAGGGGGCGTATGGCTCAAACCTAGCTTCTGACTATATGCTTCTACAATTGTTTAGTGTTTGCTGCAAAGAGAATAGATGTATTGCTTTCGCTATTTGAAAAAGTACATCAACACTTTGGAATAAGCACAAATGAAAAAAATAAATAAATAAAATAAAAATAAAAACAAAACAGATTTTTACTGATGGCCATATACTAGTCTATATTAAACTAGAAAACGAAAAGTCCTATGCCAAAAGTCCATCCTTAAAATAATAAAAAAAAATAGTGACCTGGATCACCTCTGAAATCAAATTATTTGTTTCTTGTCCTATTTGGTAACTGAAAGTCTGTTTTTTAACCACTCTCCTGGCTGGCTCGCCATCATGTTGCAGATATTTAGGCAAGCTCAACAGCTCTCTTCAACTTGTGCCTCTGCTGTTGTGTTGTAATGAACAAATATCAAATTAGAATGAGAATGACCATGTTTTTATGTACTGTAGGTCTTCTGAAAACTTTAATAAATCCACCCATAATTTTTTGAGTTATGTCACAAACTATCAAACCAACCTGACTGACAAACCCTGGTGAAAACCTAAGCCCTGGCTGAGGTAGTAAATAGATTGCCTTTTCATTGTGTACTGTATCTGCAACAAAAAAAACAACATTGTCAATGTATAGAAACCCCAGTCCATATAAAGGCTATCTAGTGCACTAAGCCTCTAAGTCAATAAAGCTGCTTTCTCATCCTTTTGCCCTGGCCTTAAAAGACAGGAAGAATCCTACACAGGGCTCAGACAAACAGACACCAGCGAGGACAATAGCGCAGTAGCACGGACAAACCCCTGGCATCAATCAAAGCCAATGAAATGGGAACCTCTGGGACTAAGCCCTATCAAAGACCCATGAGCCCCCAGTCACTTCTGCACAGCCCGGGACAAAAGCACTTAATCCAGCCACTTCGACCTCTCACATTATTAAGGGCCTGAGTGACCTTAATCCAATCAAAATGATTTACTAAAGCAGGGTAGCAGCCTCCCCTTTCCCCTCACTAACCCGCGATTTAGGGATGTGCTGGCATTTTGCACCACAATGGGCCCTAAAGTGAGAACCCCTATCGTTAGCCACCTACTTGAGTTTAAAGCACCTCGACGAACTGAGTTTATTAAAAGCAATTGGCCTGCCTAACCTCCGGCCCCCTATACGCACTCGGACAATGCTCGGGCCGCTCATGGCATTGTCCGAGGGGAACGAACAGCACCACCCAAAAGTGTGTAGTAATTTATAGTAGTCTCATGCCATAGTTGGAAACAGAACAATAGTTTTTTTTTTTTTTTCATTAAAACAGTCAATTAAGGCAAGAGTACACCACTTTTTCCCTCATACATAATTCTTGTTGTTTGTCCCAACAGTAGAAAGCAGATTATTTCTTGCATAATTGTTAGAAAGAGGCCTATAAGTCACTAGTTGATGCTTTGGGCAGAGAGCTGATTGGCTGCGTCAATCGTGCGTTAAGATGTGACAGAGGTGGAGAATATACATGAACGTGCAAAGTAGACATAGAATCAAACTGTTTTGAGACCAAGGAACTAGGAACAAAGAATTAAGCACTACACTGAGTTTATTACATAGATTAATTTGTTGTGGTTTGAAAGTTAGGGGACCCAGCTTTAGAATCAGAATCAGAATCAGAATCAGAATCATTTTTATTGCCACGTAAGTAACAGGAGGTCACAGACTTGGAAATTGCTTTGGCTCAGTGCAACAGTCAGAGAGAGAGAATAAAAAATAAAGAATAAAACTGTCTAAAACTAATTAAACTGTCACAAATCTCTGTGATTGTGCAGGCTACTTTTGATTCCCGTTAGCTGTAATATAACTTGAGGTGCATGTTACAAGTTATGCATAAAGCTGCAGTTTATGATGAAAAACTATGTCATGCAAAAATGGCTTTTCATAAAAATAAAAATAAATGGACCTGAAGTTGATTTTAGCTCCATCCACACTGATATAAGACGCATCTGGCACAAATCTACACAGACAAATCCTCTCCTTCAAATTTAAAATTCAAGATGATTCAAGAATTTATTTGCCAATTGCAGTAAAACCACATTGGAAAAACTGTGCAGAGAATACAGTCCACACCAGCGTCCCTTCTGCTACATGCTCCTATTTCAAACTTGTTACGCTCTATGACACAATGGAAAGAGCTGATTTCTGCATTTTAAAACAAAAATCTTTGCCAATCTTCTCTTTTGTTATGAAATATGTTGATATTGTCATTAAGAAATCTTAGTTGTTTTTTTTTCGCTACCCTGCATGTTTCATATTGAATTGACTAAATACTCAATAAATTCATTCATTTGACGTGTTCATTTATTATTTTATTTTTTATGTTTATACACACTTTCTTTAATGACAAAAAATAATTTGCATTATTTTGTACACTTCAAAAATGATACTAAGATTTTTTAGTTTTAAAATGGTAAATTAATGTATGGATAAATGCATGAGAAGGGTAAGAAAATGTTCCCAGCATGTACTTCCTATCCAGCACACAGCCTGCTATAGTTCTCACCAAGAACCTTTTTAACTTTCTAATCTTATGATATGTGCTCCTAAACCTTGATTCTTGTCTTGGAAAATTGTGCAAATGCATAAGGCAAGGAAAGTTTAATTGTATAGCACAGTTCATAGACTGAAAAAAATGATTAAAAATTAGGTATTAAATGCTTGAATTGAGGTTTTTTTTTATTTGAGTACATTCTGACTGTCTTAAAACAAGATTTGCCAATTATTTAAAGAACTGTTGCTTAATTTTCTCATTCCAAAGGAGACATTTCTTGTATCTTTTTAAAATAAGATCATTTAGCTTGTCCCAATGGCAAATCTTGTTTAAACGTCAAAATGTTTAAATCATTTTTTACAGTGTACACAAAGCTACTCAAAGGGCTGAACAAAACAAGATAGACATAAATAATCACCCTACATTAAAAAGATTAAAGATACAATTCCTCAATTGTATGTATGTATGTAAGAATGTACAGTGGAGATCTCTGCACACATTTACATAACGCTGAGTTCTAATACATCATCTGGAAATTGAAAGGGAAAAAAATGGGTTTTGTAGAAAGTCTTGGGTAATAAACACCGGGGATTCCCTCCTAAAGAAAACTGACAAGACCCGACTCACTCTCTCCTCCTAATTGTGTACATTATTGCTGCTCGGCGCTCGCTCAGCCCAAAGTCTATTTAAACAAGGATTTGAATGAACAAAATGAATGATGCTCGCGAGGAGGGCAGCTTTTCAAATGCAAATATGAGACATGGGAAATAATGTGTTATGTTAATGGACACAAGCATTTTTCTTTGGTTTTATGAAAGCAGTTAGGGCTGAGAATTTAAAGATGGTTCATAGAGTTATATGTATGTGTGAAGTTTGAATAAAAAAAGCTGGACCGGTGCTTCACTAAACCAATTGGGACAAATTGAGAGTGTTTTCAGCGAACGTAGATGCATTTTAAGTTATGTCGACTCCCACTGCTAGCTGTTGTTGTGTCCTTGGGCAAGACACTTTACCCTGCTTTGCCTATGAGGAGCGGGGAAGTAGTTCGCTGCATGCCTTGATGTGATATGTGTCTATGACTATTCATCGAACCCAATTTCTCCATTGTGAGATCAATAAAGTACTGTATATCTGCTTCTTCTTGAATCAAGCAGGGACTGATCCTGCTTCTGACCCATGGACTTTTTCTTTTGAGGGAGGTTGCACTGTTTTTGCAGTCGTAATAAATTGTTTTTCTTTGTAATAACTGCGGAAAATCATGGACAACACTCATGTAAAATGTACCATGTTACTGTAAAACCCTGCATTAGTGAACTTGAAGAATACATGTATAGTTGAAATACATATGAAATGACTCAAAATGTAATCATTTAGGATCATGTGTTTAAATAATAAATCCTTTGGCGAGCTACCTGTAAGGGGTTTTCTTTTGATGAAAAAGTTGGTGGTGAGCAGCCCGGCTAGGTCCTGGGTTCGATTCCACCTCAGACAGGGCCTTTCTGTGTGTAGTTTTCTTGTTCTACCTGTGTCTGCTGTAGTGGAAAATTGCTATCACTTAGATTAATAACATATAAAACAAAACAAAAAACTCATTCCACTAGAGAGCGTGGGTTTTAAATTGGTTGATTGCATATTGTCATTTCACTTGTAATGGCCCTAATTTGGAATTCTTGGTACTTTGTGCACCTGTATATAGTAGCAATTTTAAGAAATGTTATGTATTTTTTGTATGTCTTTTTATGCATGCCTTATTCTATTTTTACTTTTAAAACATGTTTGCACCAAAAGTCAAAGCAATATCCTCGTTTGTGACTTCCTGTTCCTCACAACAGCAAGAAAAACGATTCTGACTATGATTCTGACTATAATCCACATGCTCGGTCCTTACCTTTGTCCAGCACCGGTCCGAAGATGGCCAGGTTGTTGGTGACCGTGGTGCAGTTCCATCGCCGGCCTCTGAACTGGTGCTGACACTCCTGGATGCCGATCTTCACGCCCTCGGCCACACTGGGCATGATCTCCACGTAGTTCCTGCAGAAGCGCAGCTGTTTGGGCACCAGGCCCGGGATGCTGCCACACAGGATGGGTTGCGTGCCCAGCGACGAGTACTGGTGACCCACAGCCAGAGACCTGCAAGGAACAAAACACCACACTTTACTTTAATCTTATTTTTATTTTCTATTGCGAAATACTATGTGAGCTACGGTGACAACGCAATTTCCCTTGTGGATCAATAAAGTCTGTCTAAGTCTAAGTCATTTTGAAGTAATTGAAGCAGAATTGGCAACTTCACACACACACACACACACACACCAGACTCATTCAATTAAAGGAGACAAATCGTGCTAAATAAAGTTGTTTTATTTTGACTCGAGATCTGTTTTTGATGACCTGGAGTTGTTTTTAGATCCATATGTGAAATTACAAAAAGAAAAAAAAATAGACAGAAAGATAGACAATTCCGCTTCCAGCTTTACGGCTGATATGACCTGATACCAGTGAGGGACTCTGGTTTATAATCAATAAAGTAAAAGGTCTCAATCAGGGTGTTGGATTTACCAAATTTAAAGAACCGAGGGATCATAGATTAGCACCAGTTTCAGCATTGGTTCATTCCTCAATCAAAAGTTGTCAATTCACCAACAACAGATCAGAAAATCAAACCGTTCAAACACAAGAGCCATTGGTTCATAATGGCTGTATGACCAATGTCCTTAAATGTTGATAAATGTCCTCTTGTCAAAATATGTTTAAGTTGGAGTGTCTCTGGGATCGGGTAGTCAAATGTATACGCAATCATTCTAGCAAGTACAAATATTACAAAGCAAGTACAGAATAAAATGCAAAATAAATATACAAAAAATGGTAACATTTGACACTTCTTGAGCATTTTTGATACATTTTAAACTTGTTTACAAATCATTATTTCTATAAAAAAACTGCACTTAGTCCAAAAAAAGAATTTATGATATTATGATATCATAGTATTAGGAGGGAGAAAACAAACATATAAATCCGATATTCATTTACAAAAACAATTGCACCAAACATTTTTTAATAATAAAAACTCCATCGCAGAACTTTGTTAAAATGCCTGAAGTATCTTAATCTAACAAAAAAACACTTGAATTTGAGCATACAGTAAGTCAGACCTTTTTAAAACAAGATACACAGCGGTTGTGTTGTGCAGTAGAATTTAAAGTTCTCCGGGTGCTAAGGTTTCCTCTACCACTCCTATGGAAGTCTGTATACTTGTCCCCCATAAAATAACACCCAACCCCACTCTCTGAGGCCAGGACTACCCTAAAAAAAGGAGATTCTGCCAGCCCAGGTGCAAATTTCCTGGTTAAATAAAAGTCAATCAATAAAAATACAACATTGCCAATAACTGGTCAACCCTAGTTTCAACAATTCCTCTCACTGCAATCCCATAATCCACATTCACACCCCACTGCCCCACTGGCTTTTCCTGCTCACACCGTAATACATATTGTTGCATATTGCAGACTGTAGATTACCTATGCCTTTGAATAGAAGCAATACCCATCTGCGTCTGTGTAATTTTGCCGTCTGCGCTGTTTGTTTATTGGCGGTATCACATTACTATTATGGCCGCCCCCTTTCCTGATCCCCTCACCTGGCCTTTGTGTCTATTCAAATTGCAGCCTGCCACTTCGGGAGCAGCCCACGTTCGGGGCAGATGAAAGTCTACGGGCCGATCCGCAGGTCTTCACGGACTTTAAGCTGACAACCACACTGCTACACCTTATTATTAACTGCCCAAGCACTCCTACATGCCGTCAGCTTAGCCTAATGAGAGCCTAAACCCGCCATTGAAACCTCTCCATGTATCAACCATATATATCCATAGAGCCCTTTCTTCTCCCTTGATTCTCCGACAAGTGCTAACACGGTCTAACATTACATCTGTGAGCCTTTTTTTTTCTTTTTATTGCTTTCTCTTGCGCTCTCGAATCAGTTCGCCGGTATGCGCTTGAGACATTGTACAGCTCTATGCATAAGTTTGAAAACACCGCAATTATAAATGGCACTTGTCAGCAGGATGTCAGACCCGTATTTATTAGTGGGCTGACTTGGACGCGACTCTGAGCTTTTTATTAAAGGAGAGAATCGGAGCCATGGCGATGAACTTGTGACCCGAACAACGCACCTATCAATTAAGTGTTACTCAAAATAATATTAAATCTGCTCGGTTGTGTCATGAGTGCGCTTAAATGGTTTAAAAGCCAAAATTCTGTTTTTGTTGGCGCGGTGGCGAGATGGAGAAGCGGCAGAGTAAGTTATATTGGCACCGAATGTGGATGAGCTCCTGTCACTTTGCTGATAAATAGAGCTTTGATAATGACCATGTGACCCAGCCGCTTGATAGATGATTACAGCTCAATTAAGACGCATAATTCAGTGAATGGGGGATTTGAACAGATAACATCACAGTATTTCAATGTTCAGACTTAATGGTGAGGTTTGGAACTTCAATTGTATTTGACTTTAACCCCTTTATTATTTACTCTTTGAAGAAAGCGATGTAAAAAAAAGTAGCTTTATAATTACCATATCTATTATTATTATCTATAATATGTTGCTGTTGTTTTTTTGTTGAAGATCCTAGTTTTTTTTAAATATAGGTTTCTACAAAATGGTTGAGATGCAGCTTGATGGTAAAAGTTCCTAAAACAAATAAATAGAGATGCCCCAATGAGGTAGATTTCAGTTCCAAGCATAGACTCAAAAAGGGATCCACCAAATGAATGGTTGATGAAAAACTTTGAAGGGTTAATATGTTTTTTTTTTTAGAATAAGATTTTTTTTCATATGACCCAGTAGTATCATCTATCCATCCATCCATCCATCCATTTTCCTCCGTTTTATCCGTTGCCGGGTCGCGGGGGCAGCAGTCTAAGAAGAGACGCCCAGACTTTCCTATCCACACACACTTCCTCCAGCTCTTCCGGGGGGACTCCAAGGCGTTCCCAGGCCAGCTGAGAGACATAGTCTCTCCAGCGTGTCCTAGGTCTTCCGCGGGGCCTCCTCCCGGTGGGACGTGCCCGGAACACCTCCCCAGGGAGGCGTCCAGGAGGGATCCGGAACAGATGCCCGAGCCACCTCAACTGGTTCCTCTCGACGTGGAGAAGCAGCGGCTCTACTCCGAGCTCCTCCCGTGTGACTGAGCTCCTCACCCTATCTCTAAGGGCCAGCCACTCTGCGGAGGAAGCTCATTTCGACCGCTTGTATCCGCGATCTCGTTCTTTCGGTCATGAGCTTTGGGTAATGACCGAAAGAACGAGATAGTATCATCTATATTAAGTATTTTTCATTATATATATATTTATCTTGTATATATATATATATATATATATATATATAATGCTGATGCTGCTGTTGTCTATCAAGGATATTAATTATTTGCGTCCAATCAGGAGGCTGTGGGGGCGGGCCTCTTTGGCGCTTGCATTCAAAAAACGCCTCTCCATCTTCACAATTTAAAAGATACAACATTTGCTTAGTGCCCCTATGATCCGGCAATGGATAAGGCGGAAGAAAACAGATAAGGATGGACGTGAATAACCTGCATGGAATCCAGAATGAAAAAAAAATACAGATTTGAGTCATTATCTTATTTATTGAATATGGACATAGAAATAACATTGGACGAACCTGATGCATTGCTGTAAGTGTTATAGCACAACTTTATTTATTTTATTTTACATAACAGAAGATAAAATACAATTCATACAAAAAGATAATGGGATAACATTGCTGGAAATATACTCCCTCAGTTTGATCATGGGCCATAAACCTGTAATGTGCAATATTGTTGGCTACTTTACACCTTCCCCAGGGACTAGAGCTGATTATAAAGCTTTGTAGCTGAAGCTGGCACTGTTACAGAAAGTTTAGTTGCATTAAACAGTTTGCGTGTGTCTCTGATTCTAAAGCCTGCTTTGTGCCTGGGGCAGCGAGTGTACAGCTGTAGACAGAATCATCACTAGTGTGGTTTTGTTCTTCTTAGGATTCTCTCATTATTCTGGAAGACTGCTATGCTCCAGGTTGAGTTTTCGATTGTTGGAGCAATAAGGATCAAAGAAAAAGTCATATTTCCCCAAGTCTTTGGCAGTAGCTTTACTCACAATCAAAACAACGGTGCAATGAATCTGTCATCTCTTCTAGCTCCAGTTACCTGCAGCTACCTCCCAAGGCGCAAAGCATTATGGGATTGCACAAGGAGTGAATCTACTGTTTTTTCTGTTCATATCCTTATGCAAATATATAAACAGCAGTAGCCACCACTGTAAATATTACAATAAAACCCCTACAGCCAATTACAGACTGTTATTATTTTTAAGGGCAGTGTAATTATAGTGTTATACTCAGTAAGATCTTTAAGCACAAAGATTTGTGTTATTCTCTAAATATCACAGCTGTTTAACTTGTTATTATGTCATTTATCTTGTCTGAGCGCCCCTTGTATTCCTCCTGAAGCTGTAACAATTAATCAATTAAATGCAAATAATTTTAAGACTCAAAAAGAGAGTTGGAGTTGTGTAAATGTCTTGTTTTTAAGGAAAAGGAAAACTGTCAAAACTTCTGTAGACAATGTACTTTCGTCATATATTCTCCCTGTGTCTGCGTAGGTTTCCTCTGGGTGCTCCGGTTCCCCGTACCACTATACACCTGTACACTATGTCTTGCATGTGCCTTCTGTATGGTCTTGACCCCACTTCCATCTCTGTGTGGAGTGAGAGACAAATGCCCAAAACAATTGTAAAAGCGCTTTGTGACTCTGGACTCTGGTTACTTACTTACTTAGTTACTTTGGCATTGCAATAATACCTGAATTGCAGAGGACAAGGTATCCCTATGGCTACACATAATGTGAATATGATACATGAGAAATACGTTTGGACTGCTGAAAATTGATAGTATAAGATATTTTTGGATTAGATTAATTGCAACTTAAGTTTGTACATAGATGACTGTGGGTACCACCAAAGAGCAGGAGGTACTTTTATTTTGTGCTGTGTTCTTTTTAATTTATTTGTTATGTATTAGGATAAATAAATCTTTCTAAAAAAAGGAAATGAAAGACTCAGTATTGTGATGACCTCAGA